CTAGAGAGAGAGAGAGAGAGAGAGAGAGAGCGAGCGAGAGAAATCTCCGACCTGTCGTATGAGATGTGATGCGTCCTTTTCCGTGTAGCTGCCCTTGGCGACGATTCGGTCGAACAGCTCGCCGCCCGTGACCAGCTCCATCACCAAGTAGACGAACCCCTTCTCATCATAAGTATCATACAACTGCACAATGTTCGGGTGGCGTAGCCTAGAAAATCTAGATCCTAGAAATTTTGCGCGTTTACATAGATTTTCGTCTTTTTTTTTGCTTTTAAATTGTTCTATGGTTTTATTTCTATCCTAGATCGCGGATGACATTAAAAAAGTCAGCATTTAATTAAATTTTGATTCCCGGACGCCCAGACAGTACATTCTATGCGGTTTACAGTATTCCCGCGCGTACACCGCAAGTTTTTAGAAATTTTCCGTGTCACTCCGCCCCCAGGTTTTTATGTTGGAAATTGTCAGCTGCCCCACGCACTGCAAAAAGTTTTTTGTTGTGCCTGGCGTCTCATACTCGGCAGCGGAATTTGGGGGAGGCTTTAAAGGGGATGGGACAGCAAATACAGCTTATTAAAACACTTTAATTTATGGATTTTCAGGTCTTTTAAAGGGATGGAAAAGGTATGACTAGTGATTGGCTATGGATTCGTCTTTCCCTTGTTGAATCGAATACGCTCTTTGACAATAAAAAGAACATTTTTATTTTAAATTGAATTTCCCCTCCCCTGGGCGCCCATACAGTACTTTCTATCGTAATTACGGTATGCGCACGCGTGCGCTACACATCTATACAATTTTTTTCTAGTCAGCCTCGCCCCCATGGTTGTAAAAACAAGGGTTTTGTGTTCTAATGGGAAAACTGAAGATCCAAGATGCATAGATTTTTCGCTTCACGGTCCCTTTAAATGGAGGGTGATACAAAACGTCAGCATTTATTTTGTTAGTACTTTCTATAAAAATTACATCGTTTCTACCTGTACCCGCGCATTTTCACATTTTTAGTGTCACTCCGCCCCCGGGCTTAAATGTGGGAAATTGTCAGCCCCCAGGCACACGGCAAAAAATTTTTTGTTCTGTCTGGCCCGCTCATACTCGGCAGCCGGAATTTGTTGTGGTGCGTTGGCGGGGTGTGGATGATAGAGGGGGGAGCGCGAAATAGGTTGTGCGTCAAGGGGAGTGCTATGGAATGGAGGGTGACGAGATTACACGCCAGTGGCCCCGGGCTCACTTTGGAGGGCACTCTAGAAGGGGGGGATAAGCCGTCGTGATCTACCCTCCGGGGGTATGTAGAAGCCCTCGGGGAGATTGAAGAAATTTTTAGGTTTATCTGCAAGAATCGCTTTTAAAGGAGCTGGGAAGCCGGAGGAATTCGGATTTTCCAGGACACCATTGAGAACCGGTTCTTGAAAAGGAGTTAGAGCTTTAAAGAGAATTTTGTTGGAAATCGAGGAGTAAGAAAAAAATAGAAGAAAAAGAATTTTGGTGGTGATGAGAGAGATAGAGAGAGAGAGAGAGAGAGTGTGCCAGAGAGAGACGAAGATAGAAAAATCTATAGACCAGCCTACCAATCCCTTTAAATCTGTTGGAAAGCGCATGTTTCTACCCCTCACCGCGCTAGGCGTCGACTTCTACGCGGCATTCCAAAAGACGCCCTCAAAGTCCTTTTGATACTCCATATATCATGCCAAATTTCTCCAGAACCGAGGCGTACTTTGGACTGTCACGTAACTGTCGAGCTGATTTTAGAGTTTTCAGAGATTTCAGTGCTCCGAATCTGTCTTAACAATTCCTTTAAAATTCGATCTCAAAAAGCAGGTGCCAGTTGTCCCTTCCTTGACTATAATTACCTCCCGGGGCGCCTTATAGTCTTGCGGGGCTGGGGATTGGGAATGTTGGCCAACATTTGCTTCCGTGGACCGTAGGGGTAGACTAATGAGAAAAGTATACAAACCTTCCGAACCCACGTACACGAATTTTAGGCTTAGGCTTAGAATTAGGCTTAGGCTTAGGCCTAGATATCCTTTAAAGCAAAACCCTTTAAGGAACGTCCATAAAATTTATAGAAAACAACTCACTTCCTGAGCACCTTGATCTCATTCTCGAGGCTCTCCTCTTTGCCCTTCAGCGCCTTCTTGTCGATGCATTTGACGGCGACGAGATGGCCGGGTTCTGCTTTGCACTCGGCCAGGAACACCTGGAAATTCGGGATTTCCGGGACATCCGAGGGGCTTCAATTATCTCCCTCCTCCCCATCCAATTAGGGCTTTTTTGCGCTTTTTGTCGCGTAATTGGTATTGGGCAACAAAGAACCGGGGAATTATAAGCATTTTTAAAGGAGCTGTCAAGACTTCAAACTGTCGAAATTCATAATACCGAGATTTGATAATGCTTATATTTCATAATGTCGACATTTTATAATGCTGAAATCCATGAAATTTTTGTGCATAATATTTTGGGCATTTCAGATGATTGCTGCCTCTAAATGTCGACGTTTTGTAATTTCGACTTTATAAAATTTCGTTATTGTCAAAATTCAAAATTCTGAATTTTCGACATTTTCAAACCAATTCCATAGCTAGTAGTTCGGCTCTAGAAAAATGTTGCAGTTGGTAGCCGCGGGCCATTTGCAGGCGGGTGCGCGGATCTGTTCTCGCAAAGCCATAGCCCACGGTTCCCCGCTAGCCCTTATCACCCCCTGAGCGCCATCCATCGCACAGCAGCGTGGCGCAGTGGAAGCGTGCTGGGCCCATAACCCAGAGGTCGGTGGATCGAAACCACTCGCTGCTAATCGTTTTTGCTTTTTTGGAAAATGATTCAGGGATGAGAAGGTAATTTTTTGCTAGCATAGAGAATTGCAAGCTTTCAGTTTTTTTACAACTTTTCGCATAGCTTTGTGATGTAAAATCTTGAAAAGTTTCAGGATTCTTTCGGAAACAAGCCACAAAAATTAAAAAATTAAACTAAATTAAACTCTTAAATTAAAATAGAATTTCAGGAAAGTGGAATTATCTTAAATAAAAAAATTGAAGAAATAGAAGCTGAATAAAAATACAAATCAAAATCTCTAGACGATTTTCTAAACAATTTTAGTTCAATTTAACCGAAAGGTTCTAAAATAGGTTTTTTTGGAAAGTAAGAAAATTGAAGAAACTGAATCCAAGGAGTTGCACCAACCTTCGAAAACGCTCCTGTCCCCAGGACATCACGGAAATCGAAGCGATCGCGCACATTCGAATTGTCGCGCTTCTTGAAGAGGGGCATTTGTGTGTATGCCTATTTGTTGAAGAGGGCGCTGCTGGTGGTGCTCCTCTTCTTCTTCTGAAGGGATGAGGAGGGCGGGTCGGCCGAAAAAGGGGGGGGGGAGGTTGGGTCTCTCGACACACCGGGAGGAGGGGGATCGATGTCCAGAGGAGTGGGGAGGAATGGGGGGAGGGGCCACACACGGCTTCTGCCCCTCCCCTCCTTCTTCTCATTCCAGAGAGTTGCTTTTTGGGGGGCGGGTGTTGTCGGGCGTCTCCGGAATTTGGGTGTATCTGGGGACTTTTTACGTCTTCCTCTCCAACTTCTGACGGTCTCTCCGGAATTCAGAAGCGTCTGCCCGCACCTCTGCCATTTGCCCGATGCCGCGCCAAAAAGCGCCCCCTCCCCCCGCCCCACACACACAATCTTTTGCTGCTTTTGCTGGGGGGGCCCTCGGCCCAACAGCGCGAGGAGCACACCCCGCCAATTTGTGACGAATTCAAAATAAGCGACAAGGGCGAGAGGGCGGGCCGGAAACGACGGCTTTTTAAGGGTTTCGGAGGCAAAAATTTGAATTTGCTAAATTACAGTCCCCGAACGTTCGCCAGATTACAGCACCTGCTGAAAATTGTTGAATTAAATGCTACCAATTGGGGACGGCTTCAAAAGGGATATGCAAGCCGAAAAGAGCGTTTTAAAAGCGTTCAAGAGGAAAAATTTGAATTCGGGCACATTACAGTAAGGCGAACCTTTACAGCACCGGCTCGAATTCGTGACATTACAAGCATCTCATTTGTGACGAATTTCAAAAAAACGACAAGTGCAACCGGGCAACCAGAAACGATAGTTTTTAAAGGGATTCAGACAGGAAAAGTGGTTTCGCTAGACTACATTAACCCACACTCCGGCTTGGCTTACAGTACTCTAACGGAATTCCCAGGCGCTTTTGGCATAAGCCGGTAATAACCAGGCAGGCTGGCGGGGATTCTTTGGGAAAAGGAAGGTCAGATTAAGTTAAAATTAAATTAAATATTTTTAAGGAAATGTTTAGCATAGCAAAGATTCATGAGAAGGGGTAAAAGAGCTGGAATTCTGGAGCAAAGAACCTAATTCCAACCCCGCTGCCATTTCTGGACGCTCCAAAAACGGGGGCCCGGAAACGTTAATTGACTGTGGAGGAGGAGGTGGAGGCGGAAAGGGAGCCTCTAAGAAAAGGTGAGCCAAACACAAAAGACCTTTTTTGGGAGTCGATGGCAACGCCCGGGACGGTGGAAAAGGTCCTGGGAAATTCCGGGGGGATCGCTTGTGTATTCTGGACTCAGCTTTTTGACGAAGCTAAAAAGACTGGGGTCTCGGGCTCGCTTCCTCGGGCTCAAAACACGCTGAAATTCCGGCTATTCACGAGCCTTAGAGCTATTAAATGGACCGGCAAGCCAAGTCTAGCGATTTATCATGGATTTTTCCACACCAATGGGCTGCAGCGCGCTAAGCGACGCAAGATTGCGCGCGTTGCGTGTCGCGGCGACGATGACATCCTTCTGAAACCAATGGCATATCGGCGCCTGTTTCCTCCTTTCAAACACCAGAATAAGCATCTTTTGTCGCCAAAAATGGACAGCTACCCGGCGCACCAAAATCCTCGTACACTGGCCTTGGGTTTTGCTCGGGTGAATGCGTATTTTCGTATAATCCGTACATGTCGACACCCAGACAAGGTAAGGGGTAGATTTTCGCACTAGCTATTGGCAGTAGTCTCATAAACTCCTAATTAACCCTTGGATCTCCCCGGCTCCAGACGACCCTTCTTCCTTGATTTGATGGCCGTTCCGCTTACACCCTCCGCATGGCCTTGCAGGGTACGGTAATTGGGGCACGAAATATTGCCCGAGACGGCGGGTGCAGGAGGGGATTGGATTGGCTCTCGGGGCAGGGGGAAGAGATGGGCTCATTCCGTCCAACCGGGTCGGCAGATTGCCTTCAGAGAAGCCGGAGATGAAGGTCGGGGTCGCTTGGATGAAGCCGATGCTAGCGGCCTAAAGGGACTAGGAACCCAAGAAATGCGTTGAAACCTACTCGTCAAAATGAAAAGAGCACCGTCTTCTTAACCCCCCCCCCCCATAGGTTTCAATTAGGCTTGCTTGGAGTTTCCCAATGCAATTTTTCTCCTTTCTCACGGTTTCTGCCTGCCTTCTTGGCATATTGTTGTTATTGGGAGTGGATGTTTGGGGGTGAAAGTCATGGGGGCAGAGAAAAGGCAGTGATGCATTCCAGAACAGACCCCCGGTGGGTCCACTTGCTTCCTATGTACATTAGATGTAGAGGAGGGAAGTGTATCAAACAGAGCGGAGAGAGAGAAAGAGAGTGTCGCTCCCTCAGAGATCGTGACATCGACCTTTGATAGATTGAAGATGACATCCTCAGAATACGGGCCCTAGCTGCAGATATCGGAATAGCAGCTGAAAGAAACAAAACCCTGAAAAAAATGCCAAATTTTCTGGAAAAGCGGGGCTAAAAATCAAAACACCACACAGTAGGTGTGCACCCAAAGTACCAGCAGGTATCAATAATTCATGATTTATCTCTTGTGCATCAAATGCCCGAATCGCTCGATCGCAAAATTTGCCAATAAAGTGGCGAGTTTGCTGGCGAATACGAGGCTGATCAGGACGAGTGGCATTAGGAGACCGATGAACACGGAGCGTACTCGTTTTTCCTCTCTTCGCGGTATTCGACTCTGGAAAGCGTTTTCGGCTTTGGATGGCGACATAGGTTTTGTACCACTGTGAAGCAGATGGAGAAGGATAAAGGCAATAACAATCTATTTATAATGACCCACCACTTCTCGCGTTGCGTTGTACGACTCGAGCTGCTCCATGCCGGGGCCGCCTTCGTAGGTGATCGTTTCGCCCCAGCGTATTCTGAAATTAGCTCGAGCATTTAGGGGGCTGTCTCAGCTATTTCACACATTCTCTCGCGCTCTCTCTCTCTCTCTCTCTCTCTCTCTCTCTCTCTCCCTCTTTTCTCACCTAATCTCCACCTGCACCGGGACATATTCTGGGATTCCGATCGAGGTAATATTAACGTTCGGTTGATTCCAAGTGCGATGAAGCATCTCGATTCTAAGTTTAATATAATGTACGACCGTAGGAATAATAATAATAAGTATAATCGTTACAGTAGTGCCCAAGTTTGGCTTACATTTCCCACAGATGCCTCATACAATGCTCGTTTGGGCACTCAGCCATCACAGCATTTCCCGTTTGGAATTGGTAGATGAGGGGATCGAGCTCTTTTCGAATGATGCCTTGTCTAAACATGTAATAATTGTTATAATCTTTACCATTATAATCCTCTTTTTTAAAATACTGGGACCAGCAACCTCACTCTACTCAAAAACTTCGAAAAACTTACGGACGCAGCTGACGGATGCCAAACCCGATGGCTTCGCGAAGAATTCCAGTCACAAAGGCGTCGTCGATCTAAAAAATATTTGAACCTCAGCTCAAGAATTACGGTAATATATCGCATCCGCTTCACGGCCTCTTCCATGGCAGCCAACGCTTTTTGAGGCAGCAAATAGGCGGCGCCGGCGCAGTACTTTGGGTAGAAGCGCTGCGGGTAGGCCTCGTCGGAGACGTACCTGAAAAATTAGGCGGCTGTTATCTAGCTAACCACTTAAAAATCCTTGGGTAGCAACTTACCACTTACTGTACGGGTTCCTGACGACGTTCGTCTGGTTGTAGGAAATGGCCATGCAGAAAATCGTGCTGGGGTCATTGATTCTAAAATTAATTCGGAAATACAAGATACCGAAAATATCCAAAAGTTATTACAACTTACTTCCTATTCTCAATAAACCCCAATAGCGAATAGACGTCCATCACGGCGTCATCGTCAAGGTGGAGCACCCATTTGGTATGTGGGCATCTGGCTTGGGCATAGCGCATCCAGGAGAGTTTCTGAAGGGAAGCTGCAAGTCATCAGGCTGGTCTCTCTCTCTCTCTCTCTCTCTCTCTCTCTCTTTCTCTCTATCTTCTCTGTCTCTCTCTCTCTTTCACCTTGACCGTCATATTGAAGTAGTGCTCGACAAACTCGGCTTGCAAAATATCGTCATACTGCTCGGCCTCCGTTTCCACCCATTTTTGGATCAATTCGGAGTCTTGCAGCCCCAGAACGAATACCACAGAGAAACCGAGCTAAAAAGTGCACTTACTGAATTCCATTTCATTATTAACTGAATTTTTAAGCTTTATGTTTTGTAGTAAACCCAAAAAGTTACTCACCTTTTTCTGAAGCTCCATACTAGCATATGTGTCTCTGATTGCCATACGACGCCCAAAATTTTGGGCAGCTAAGTGTTGAATAGTTACAAGAAAATTCGGTAATAATCCCTGTTCTAAAACTGACCTGAATGAATAGCCACAAACATCTTGTTCCCCCACAGGCAAGGATTTCTTCGGGCCGGCTGTATCCGGTACGGGACCGGGGCCAGCAACTATAACTTTTGTATACAATTTGATTTTTAACAACCAACCAAATCAAAATATTCGCCCTCCGGAACAATTGTAATCTGCGGAATTTTAGGCGGTGGATGAGATGCGGCAATGGTTTGATTTTCGGGTGAGTTTTCCCGAGGGCCATGCGAAACTAGGGGGCTTGTGGTTGGGTCTAAATAGGATTATGACTTTTTTACTACAAGGCTACCAGGCAGTAAAAGCCGTGGTGCGGTAAAAACAGTAGGTATTTCTAAAAGTGGACAATTTTGGCCAAAACGTATATAGAAATACCAGAGATCGATGCATTGCTCAAATTTTCTTGTTGTGGGGAGGAAGAACTCGGTTCTAAAACGTTTTTATAGGAACTTATAACCGATAAATACCTGGTAATATGCTATTTTGCTGGACAACTGGTTGAAGGGCTGAGAAAACAGTTGTATCTTCTGAAAAATTATTTAATGAGCTTTAACTAAAAAATTTCGCGCGAAACCCGTTTCGCCTACTTTCAAAGCGAAAAACTGACTTTTTAAAGAATCATTTAGCGTTGTAAAACCATTAGCCACAGGAACAATCTCTGCAGTAGCATTAAAATATAACAAAAATAATATAGCAATCCTTAGAATCATATATATTTAATGTGTAGGCGGGAATATGGATCGGAGGGGGGGGGGGGGGGGTTGCGGGCACGCACCTGAGCACCAAGCATCCTCACCAGCGCACCAGGCGGTATCGAGCACCTAGATCCGAATCTTAATATGCACGACGGCACTTTTTCCCTGGCGAGAGGGTGAGAGGCGGAGGGATAATTAGCAAGAGGGCCATAAGAGGCGAGCTCACCAAAACAGGCGGCAGCCAAAAAAATGAGCCTGTGCACCCAAAAAATCAGATTGAATACGGGCACGGCAGATGGACATCGGGGGGGTGGTGGGGAATGATCGGTTCACTAAAGGGATCGCGACATAAGAAATTCCATAGATTGAATGAAAGTGTGAGAGTGAGCATGAGGGACAGTGGGTGAGAGGGAGAGTGCCAGAGAGAGCGAGAGAGCGAAGAGAGAGAGAGAGGAGAGTGAAAGAGGGAGCGCTAGTAGGGCACCGTTGCATTATCGGGGGACCCGACTTTTGTGCTTAAGATTCAATTATTGAATCTAATTCCAACTTACAACTTTAAAGGAATTTCTATGCAGTCTATACTAGCGCTGAACCCAAAAATTCACAAATTTATATCGTAACTTACAGAAAATATGAACTTTTTGAAAAAAATTTAAAAAAGGAATGCTAAATTGACGATGGAAAGGAAGATTGAAAAAACAAATATACAGAAAAAGATCAAAAAGGTTGAATTACTGTATGGAGACAGTGTAGAGAGCCCAAAGGTGTTCAAAAAAAGCAAAAAAAACACCTGTCGTGCGGCAGCTGAAAAGGACACCCAAAAATTTACTTGGCGAGTCTCAATTTGGAGCCGGGTATCTTCTACTAATGTGCTTTATCATCCTTACCATCCTATTATTTACTATATACGCTGTGACTATTAATGCGCAGTGCGAGCGCTATCTGAATTGTCTGGATTGCGCTGGGGCGCAGACGGTTGGGTATACTTGCCGGTGCGCTTATAGCTTGGATATTTTTTCTCATAGAATTTTCAGTAGTTTTGGAAGCCGTCGCAAAGTAAAGAAAGTAGTTTTGTAGTTTAAAACAAATATTCGCTAAAGAATTACGATATTACGCTAAGATATTATAGATGGTGCCTCGACAGCGGTAGTTGCGTAAACGGCCTGCTCGCCTGCTCCACGTACACGGTGATCACACAGTACAATTGCCCACGAAATATCAGCCAGATTGTCTTTCCGGTATGTCTACTGTAGCTAAGACAGGATTTATTGTAGCACGGTGCCTCGAATAGCTTTAATCAATACTACGAGGCTGATTAAATTTTGATATAACAGGATTTTGCCCTTCAGTACTACCTCTTGGCCAGCCGCATAATCCCGATCACGAAGGCGGCAAACGCGGTGCTTGATCTGTGGGCGAAGGAAGATGTCCTGCCCATATTACAGAATATGCACAATGACACCACGATTATTTACTCGAACACCGTCGTCTGCGATCACGTACGAGATGGGTTTCAGCCAAATAGATGCAATTTTTAGGGAATGGCCTCGGTGATTGTGGCCGCTATTGAGCCAAATCGAGAAGCCGTCATTGCCTTTGATTCGACTGTCGGTTTCGATGAGGTAAGTATGGAAAAAACAGATCAAGGTGCTTGAGATGCTTGAAAAATCCTCTTTAGATCATTGCACAAATCTTCGACTTTCTACTGAATCGACAGGAAAAGTTCAGATTTGGAGGGAGAGTGCTGAAATATTACAAGTGGCTTTGGGCATGGAGAAAAATGATGAATATTTTTAAGTTCCTGCTTTTTCTCGTTGTGGGACAATGGGCTCAACGACACGATGCAAGAGTACTTTGCACCCCGGAAAAATTGGAATATCACGGTAGCCTCAGCTTGAGCTTTCCATTTTCTGCAGAGTGCACCTGATTTTGCATATTTTGCTCCTAGAAAAATTGTACTTCGCCTTCCAAAAAATAACAATGCAATAGGTGACCGGCGCCGGAATTGGTGGTTCGCTGGCGTCGATGCTAATCCCGGCCGTTGCCACATTGTTGCGGTTGTCAAATATCAACCTGCTGACGGTCGGCCAGCCGCGCACCGGCGACATCACTTTCGCTATCAGTGTCGAGAGCAACGTAAGTTTAGCTATATATTGTTAAGAAATCGCTAGTTCAGACCCATTCGGCTTTCCGTGCGGTCGTAGGCGCCGATCTACTGGCCGACATGCCAAAGCGCATCGGCGATTCTCTAGACTTGGCCCACCATTTCGCGTTTGAGGTGAATTTGGTAGACTACCCCAAATACTGGCATCCTCATACTAAAACACCGAATGCGAAGCGTAACGTTCAAAACCCCGAAACCCAAAATTCGATACGTCGTAGCCCCGAATTCAAATTACAACAGTCGACCACCGACCAGTTTCGGCTTGATTCGGCTGTTCTAAAACCGATCTGTTTCCGACAGTTTTGCTGACAAAACCCAGATACCAAAGTACGAAATATCCTAACTACAGCAAAAATACAAAAAAACATATTTGGAAAAATACACCTTGAAAAAAATCGGGACGACCCCATAGTTTCAATTAGGTGCTTTTAACTTGATAGTTTTGGAATTCGGACTCTCAAAAAAATTTCGGATTTTGTACTGCGACGGGTTATGGAACTTGAGATTACTGTTTTCGGTTTCAGCACTCAATCTAATGGGAAAACACATACTGGTTGACACCAAATCAACATAAAATTAACATCTCAGGTATATTTTCCCGATGGCCTCGACGACCCTTACCATATCTGCGACCAGCCCGAAAGCCCCTATTGCAGTAATAGCGTCTTTTTCAAAGTACCCTGGCTTAATATGCTGTATTTCGTGAAGCTGGAATAAGCTCGGTGCGTCCGACTACCTTCTATTTGCAACGCTTTATCCAAATATCCGCTTCTGAAAAAACACATATCCAATTGAAATCGTGCAAAAATAAACGGTAAAAGACGCTATATATGTTTCCTTCGCAATCTCACTACCGGGTCAACCAGGAAATCCAGAAAAGAAAAGATTTGAAAATGTTTGATCGGCAAAAATCCTAGAATTTCATGGTATAGCATTATGTGGAAAAATCAAGTAGACGAACGAATAAGGCAAGCTGGGTCAAAATCGGGGGCTCAGAAAAAGGCGTAAGTGAAAGTTTGCATAAATATACAAGTGACGCCGGGCGCGGTTTTCAGTTTTTTGGCAGTTGCAAGTCTTGGGGGACGGGGTAAGCGAATCGGGCTGATAAGTGGGGGCCAAAAATCCGGAGAAAATCACAACACAAAACGTTCATCAAGATTGATCACCTTGTCAAGCGGAAAACGTAAAAGAGTGAAAATTGCTTCAAAAAATCGTTAGAAAATTAAAATAACGCTCGGTTGCGTACAAAAAACGAAGCGATACTGTGGTAGAAATCTGTCATGTTACCCCTAGCGACAAATCTCCCTGAAGACAAAGACGACGAAAAATCAAAAATATTGGAGAACATTACGATACGTTGCGGTAGCTTTTGGTCGCACAGCGAGAAATCGATGAGGGCATGCTGGCAAAGAGAATTTGGGAAATCACATAGCGCAAAATTTTTCGGTGCCCTATTTTATGTACTGCATCAGGTCGTCGAACTCCTGCGAGTCGGCCAGCATGTCAAAGTCGGCGCCGGGTGAAAATGTGGAATCGACAATGTCCTCGTCGAGTAGACCGGCAAATGGAGATGGGAGGCCGACGAGCTGGAATTGTGTGGGTTACGGTGGAAGGGGAAAAATGCAGAAAAGGCGCATCTAGTGGAAGTCGAAAATTGCGAGTTGCGAACTTTTACTGTATTTTTAGGTGCTAAATTTGGTGCTTAGGCTCATTTATGTTTTGCAATGGTTTAATTTCAGAGCGCAAATGCTAAAATAAATTTGCTTGCGTTTCTGGAGAAGATATGTGTTTTCGCTTACAAAAGTGCCCCAACTTTATAATATTCTAAACCACGCAATTTTTTCGTTTTTGCGAGATCAAAAAAATGGCGTTTTTGGCACCCATGGACGTTATTGGAAGCGATAACCATTGAAAAACGTACCGGATTCTCATAGCCTCCAATCAAGGAATGTGCCGTGCTGGGCGGGGGCCCGGCGTCCGTCTGCGTCTGCGCGTCCACCTTTTTCGTGAACCACGTCCTATAAAAGAAAATCATCATTTGTTTTTTCTAGATTACAAACCTAACGGGCGAATTCGTTGACTCGCCATACAATGATGGCGGGCTGATCGAGCCTAGCGAGATGTCGGCCGGGTTTTCGAAAAGTGGCGGGGAGCCGGAGGAGGAGGAGATCTGTGGTGGTTCCTCAAGCTGAAATACAACTTATAAGGTATCGAAAAATTAATAGGATACCTTGAAATCGCCAAACATCTCGGAGAGAAGCGGGTCACCGCTCGCACGGCCGCCGAACGCCTGGCAGAATTGCATATTCTCGCACATAACGCCGGATAGGGTCTGGAAAAGTGGGATTGGTTTGAATCCTTGGCTTATCGATAAAGTACACATTCATCAACTAATTTATATGCTTTGCGCTTATATAATCGTATTTCATGAGCTCTTCGAAGCCCTGAGATGTTTTCTTTTGTTCCCGAATTTTTAACTTGGAACTCGGATAATGTATTGGGTCTTAAAAATCTTACAGTTAAACTTAGATTATAGCAATTACAGCTTGAACCCACCGCAATGGTCGGCAACAGCAACAGCAAATTGCCAAACCGGCTGCTCGCCGTGTAGATGGGATGCAATTCTTTGACGATCTGGAAGAGCATGTCCTGCAGTTTGTCCCGCAGCTCGGAGATCGAGGCCCGCGCGTGCTCGGAAAGCCCCTTTGCATCTGAAATTTGTTGTTAAAGTGGATCCAGACAAATGTATGATAGAAGCTAAATACAAAAGCGCTAGTGACGGTACTGACTTGGGTTGAGGACGAGGATGGCTTTGAGTGGGACAATCTCCTCCTCCTTCAGGTTCATCCGCCGCAACGGGCCCACCAGCTCGTTGAGCGTGCGGTCGATGAGGTTGTTGGAGAGTTGACTGAAAGTAGTTGATGATGATGATATACAAGATCATTAGGGGCTACTAGTATACTCCAGTCCTGCCATTTCCCCTAAAACCCATTCCGCGCTGATCTCTGGCGCCACCCCAATCGAGCTACAGCCGGACCGAGCTTTTCCGAGATTTCCCCTTCCCCCCAGCTTGACGTGTTGCTTTGCCCGAGCGAATATGACTGATAAAAGGCAGCAGGAATTTACGACTTGATTGCCCGGTTCTACGGGCAATTTCACCCGGCGCGCTGTGGGCAGATTTTTAAGAGCGGCCCTGGCCTGCTGACCGCTGTGGCTCAACAAGTCCAAAGCGTTGAGAAAATTGTGAATGACCAAAGGGACGGACGGCACCACGAAAAACAGGCCCGAATTTTCGTTGCGTAATCTAACAGACCCATTTCGAGAAAAAGACGCGCTAAAACCCACTTTTGCTCGTTGAACTCGGGCGGCAACCGCCGTGGCACGTAAGAGTGTGAGCACAGGCATAAAATATCCGGATTTTTCGTGTGCTGCGCCGTCCGTGCCGAGAAGTTGAAGATGGTCAACGGGGCGTAGCACTGTTTCACGAGAGCAACCTGGAAATGGTTGTTAGAAAAAAGCTCAGTTTGTGTTTAGGTTTGTTTCTGTTTTTCACGTTTTTTATAAGCCCAATTTTGATAAAGAGCCGTTAAAACAAGGTAGAAAATTCGAGAAAACCCTACCTTATCTTCGGTATCGTTAATATCCGCCAGTTCGGAGATGCAATCCACCCAATCAACAGCGGCAATGGCCCGTCGGTGAGCGATGGCCGGTAGTTCTTCGACGCGGGCTTGCCGTAGCGGCTCGTAGCCGATCTGTAGTTTTTAATAGGTATAGATCTCGCTCTTTACTAGCTGGATCAATTGCGGTATTAATTAACTACCTCTGTCCGCCGGCCATCCATCAACGGCTTCGACTCGAACATTTCTCGCAGCGAAAAGTTTTTGAGGTCTCTTTTTGAGGGTGGCTGAGATGTCGGCTCATTTCGTTGGCTGACACTTTGCTCGCCTTTTGCAACCTGAAAAAAAACAAAAATAATTGATTAAAGGGCACGTTCAGGGACGTTTTTTTTTGGAAAAAGCAAAGATACTTGCCGCGGCCGGGGGTCGAACCCGGGCCCCCCGCTCGGGGGGCGCGGATGGATACCAGTCAGCCACAGCTACAACCTGGCGAGGGGCCGAGGGGCGCCCCACGCCGCAAAGGAGGGGGATGGCCTGTCACAGCACGGGCCGGCCGTGCGCGCGGTCCCTACGTCCATAGGGTGTACACGTTGGGGCGAGTACACGGCCCCTCCCTGAACGTGCGCTTTAAGTCAAAGTCGACGAAGTAAAAACTACTCTAAAAAACTTTAAAACTCTAACAATAATTTCAGACATTTTCTTGGCTTCCTAGGCTCCTTTAAAGGCATTTCTGCTCGCTCCAACGGACGCTCACCTTTGATTCAATGTTCATCAACTGTACAAGTAATATACGGACTTCCACCTGCAGCTTCCGCGTCCAATCGTCCCCTTGTAAGCGCATCTGAAACCGAGGGGTTTACGGTTTTTTTTCATCGATTTTTACAATTGCATTTCTGCTAGAACTTTTGCTTTTGCCAATTTCTATTTTTTTGATCTCGACGCAATTCCCTACCATATGATTCAGCAGCTCCTCATCGATGTGCTTCTTCCGTATCCGGGGCACTTTTTGCTTTCCGGTCAGGTCGCGGTCGGGGCGCACGGCTTTCGGGTCCATGCCCACCTCGAGGCAGCGGTTGAACCGGCAAAACCGGCAGCTGTTCCGTTGGACTAGAAGATAGAAGAATTTTTGGAATGCTTCAGCTGGTCTTACATTTATCGACGACACAATTGTTTCCGAATCGGCAGACGTAGCGATATTTACCAGTTAACGTCCGCCGGAAGAAGCCCTTGCCTGCAAATTATGGAATGAGCTTGATCTCCTTAACTTTATCTCTCTCTCTTTTTTTTTAAGAATAGCTCAAACTCACATCCATAACAGGCCAACACTCCGTAGTGCAGCTTTGCTTGTCCATCCCCGCAGACCGCACAAGTAGCCTCACCCGGCGAGCCAGAGCTTTGTGGCTAAAACAAGGAGCTTGAGCTCAAAAATAAGCTTCAAAAACTCACTCTAGAGTCCCGGATATTGTAGGAGGGGGTGGCAGTGGAGGCGAGCACCAGAGGCATGCGGAGTGCGCTAAAATTTGGTGATGCAAAACCTGTCTTAGCTGTCTAAACTTGACTTAAGGTATATTTCATATGCCTTGAACAGCTTAATAGCTCGATCATAAACCAAATGATAAAGTACATAAATATTTTTCGCTTATGAAACTGATATCAGAAATCAAAAGTCCAAAAACGGCGCGCCGGGGGAAAATCCCCGGGCCGAATGGAAACTATCGACGCGCAATATCCATGGAAAATGACCGAAGATAGGGGGAAAGAGAGAGAGAGTGAGAGAGAGAGAGAGAGACGGACGGAGAGAGACGGAAACGAGCCCCCTATCTTACAACTGCTGATAACCTTGAGAAATGGACATTGCAAAGCGGCCACTGGGGAAATGGATGACCGGAACGGATCATTTTCGAGTTATTTTAGGGAATCGTTTTTTTAGGATAGATAAAGCCGATTTGCTATTGGTTTTTCAAATGTTATTCTAAAGATAGGGCTCCACAAAATTTTCCATGGCGAAAAATCAAAGCATTGAGATGTAGAAACATCGAAACTTCTGAGAAAAGGGCCTAGAATCTCAGTGCATTTCGCGTGTTGTCGAGCGTCATTTAGCCCTATCTTACCGTTATCAGTATACTACTTCTCAGAGACGAAAGATACAGGTTTACTGCCAACAGGGCAAAAGCTACTGATCGACCACTTGGACCGCTTGGCTGTCTGATTGATGGGATGGCATTGGCCGGAAAGCGATCTCAGAAGATCATTGTTTGAACGGTATAAGCTAGATATACTTATTTAATACTCCTTAATGTTTAGTTTGCATATACAAAGCTTTGCCGGATAGGATTAAGAGGGGCGAAAGGTTAATCCGGAGTCTATGCTATTTTTTACCCAAACCTTCCAAAATCTACTCGATATTTTTTACAGTGATTGCAAAAAAAACCTCCACACCTACCGGCCGGATTCCAGGGTACACGAAAATATTTGCTGAGGGAGGTACAGAGAGAAAACACGTATTGCATGGGGTATCTATCAAAACTTGCAGTGTACTGCAAGGAGTTTCCGCCCGGAACATTTGGGATTTTCGATTGGTTAGAGAGAGAGAGAGAGAGAGAGAGAGCTGGAGAGCACGCGAATTCCTTGGGTTCAGAATAAATATGCCGTGTTTGTTTGCGATTTTGGTGTGTTTCTCCGGAAAAGGCAGGGCACATGAGTTGTGTACCATTGATTGGCTGCCGCCTAGTTGATTTTCCCTTTCTCTCTCTCTTTTTTCTCTCTCTCGCTCATCTCCTTGATCCCCCTAGATCCGTGTATTTTGATTTTTGGGCTGCCGAACTTGAGGTACTATGACTGCGTTTTTCCTAAACCACCGTTGGCTTAGGCCTAAGCTTAGGCTTAGGCTTAGGCTTGGGCTTGGGCTCAGCCTTAGGCCTAGGCTTTGATGTATGCTCAAGGTTAGGCTTAGGCTCGAACTTAGGCTTCAACTAAGCCAAATTTAAGTCCTAAATCCCACTCAATTTCCTCAATACCCTTTCCCTGCATGCCCTTTCCCCCAAAAAAATGCTAATCCGTCCAGGGGACCGGGGCAAGGTGTTTGTGTGTGTATGGATGGATGGATAGGTTGAAAAGAGCGGAGTTTGCCTCTCGACAAAAATGAGAGTCTCGATAAAATCTAGCATCGACGGCACGGGAAAGGAGGGGGAGAAGGTGGATGTTTGAAAATAAGCCCCTGAAATCCATAGAACGATTGGACGCGGCTGATCGGTATCGCCTGGTCAGGAAGGTGGAAGGGGTATTTATGTGCAATCCGGAAAAATAGTAAGAGGTTAAGCTAGGGTGTCCGGAAATGAGCGAATGAGTGAGAGAGGAGAGAGCGAGAGAGAGAAAGTGAGAGATACAGGGCGAAAGACACCTATTTGCCACACTAAAAGGTGTGAAGCCAAACCCGAGAAAGGTGACCTCGAGCTCGAGCTCCTGAGAGCGAGAGAGAGAGAGAGGAGGAGAGAGAGAGAGAGAGAGAGAGAGAGAGAGAGAGAGAGAGAGAGGGAGCCGACCGGACTACTGAAAAATGAGAGAAATCCCCTTCCAGAAACCCCGAAACCGAGCCCCGAAACGTCATAAGCACAATGGAGAACCATGCAAGAAGTGATTTGGGTTGAAAGATCAAACGATCCCAAATTTAATGGCATCATTGAAACGGGGTAGTAAATGTTTCCGGCCCGGAAAGTTCTGCGGCGCATTGCCGGATGCCGTTAATTCAGGAATTTGAGGTTTTTGGCGTCAGCTGTCTGGATTAGCGCCAATTTTAGCCACTATAAAGAGGAGGCGTGCTCCGTTTTTTACTAAGCCTAAAACGAATAAAGGGCACAATTTTTTACTAAAAAATGGAAAATGGATTTTCGGCCAAAATGTCCATTTTCGACATGATTTCCAATTATTCAAGGTCTAAACCAAACAAACTCTATAATAAGTTTGAATCATTCAAATTTTTCGGTTCCTTTTTGCTCCGTCCGTTCGCCCGCTCTTTCGACAAAACACTGTATCCCCATACTCACTCGCGTGGTAGCCGTGTCAAAATTGGGGCACATTTTAGGGATAACGAGGGGGTGGGTGTGAGAGTGTGGCATTGGACGATAGGATCGATTGGGTTCAAAAAGTTGTCGGGAACCAAAAATTGGAAAATTAAGAAACGGTATAACTATCATAATAAATAAACGGTATTAGGATCATTACGCTCAAAGGGAACACCTCGTACCTGTGCTGCCGGGCCAGCGTCTTCTGCTGTATTTGGTACTTGGCCTCGAGCACCTCCTCACACTCCTCTTCCTCCCCTTGGCCCTCCTCCCAGTAGTCGTAGTCCATTTCCGCCGACGAGCGCACCTGAATCTGCAGAAATTAATAAAGGTTTTACACTTTTAAAATCTCTTAAATTATCTTAGAATGTAGTTTTTTGAAGGAGGGAGAGAGAGAGAGAGAAAGAGAGAGAGAGAGCGCGTGATAGAGACTGAGAAAGAGCATCAGTAGTAAATACTTTCTAAGTGTTAATAAGAAGTATACAAATTATTCTACGCTTTTTAGGAGTATCGTTTGAAAATTTTACAAGAATCATTAGGTATATCAGTTTGCGAGGTCCTTCCAGACGAGGTAACCCCTCTGTTTTCGCTTTATTTATCGGCAGGGCAAATAATTCGCCTCAAACAGAAATTTCGAGGGCTCAAAATTACTCGGTTGTTTGCCGGAAACAACGGGTAAGTAATCCGGAATTGTATATTTTAGCTGATTGATGTAAAAAACCGAGATCCAAAGCTAGCTTTTAAAACTTACAGTATACGGGTACATCGGGGGCGGCATCCGGCGCGGCGAGAGAGGGCGCGAGAATGAGAGGGGCTAGAGACGAAAAGATGCGGCAGACGGCAAGATGGGCGAGATCGATGGGAGAACTATCTGAATTCAGAAAAATTTGTAGTTTGACATTTTAGTACCGATTAAAGGAAATGAAGAGGCATGAGGGAAAAATTACGAAGTACTAAACTTGAAAATCGGTCCAATATTCGGGTTAGCACAAGCTAAATAATTTTTTTCTGAGATGTTCCAAAAGGCTGGAAAAGGGCCAATACTTTACAAATATATTAATTATAATTTTATACAAATTTTCGGGTTTAATTCACAAAAATGACAGGGAATCATTTAATTTCAAAATATGTTTCGTCAAGGCAAAATTTAAACTGCTTTAAAGGGACGTGAAAGGCATAACTGTGAATTTTTTGGTCGATTTTAGATGGGCGATCGCGATACGCAACGCGACCGCCACGCGCCCGCAACGCTTCCGCTGCTTGGCCAGCGTCCAACCACTGTAATCCGTTACGTAATGAACAGACGTGTTGTGTTGCGTTGCGTGTTGCGGATGCGGAAAAACCATAAAAAGCCGTTTTGCGTTCTCAAACGCTTAAAATTACTAAAAATCTCTCAAAAATAACATGAATTTGTAGAACAATTGGAATTTTTTAATAAAAGGGCAAAAAAACATCCAACCCCTTTAAAAACCATGCAAAAAGATGGCAAGAATTTTTTTGATAAATCCGGCCGGGTCCAGTGGTGGCAACCCGGCCGGGTTTTCCCCGGCGGCCCAAAATGCGGGCTTATCTTTTTGGTGAGAAGTGTGGGTGGCTGAAAGATCGGAGGGGATGTGGCATACACGTAAAGACAGACAGACACACAGACAGACATACCTAGATAGATAGATACACACACTGACAGACCGAGAGCCCCACTTCATTTTTACAAGGGCTCCCGGCGGTGGCCGGGCGGTCGGGCGCTACAACATTCGGGCCGGATTAGCGTGGCAACCCCCGGACCGTGTAGCGACACCAAAATCGATAAGCAAATTTTTCAGGGCATCAGAGAACTGTCCATGGGGGAGTGCAGCGGAAACTACGTCGTACTTTGGAATGTTTTGGATTTTGGCCATACTTTTTAAAGCTTAACTTTTTTAAGGCACGGTCAAGACAGCGGAATTTTTTCCCGATAATCGAGATCCTGACAGCGAAAATATCGACAGCAAACTCGAGAGCCAAAATACCGACAGTCAAGTTCTAGGTAGCCAATACAAATCCCGATAGCGATAATGCTGACAGAGAAAATCGCAAAGCAAAAATTCCCACATCCAAGATACCGACAGCCCAAATCCGGATAGCTATAATCCCGACAGCGAAGATACCGCCACTCAACACTTCGACAGGCTAAAATCCCGATTGTGAAATACCGAAATAATGCCGACAGAAATGCCGACCAGGTCTAATCCTCGAAATCTTGTAAATGCCGACAGGCAAAATTGCGATAAGCAATATATCTGGTTAGAAGGAAGTGGCACCGAAGCCGGCCGGGATTTTGGCTTCTTACAAGCATTCCTGTCGGGATTTTCGTTGCAATTCTATTCCCTGATGATCGCATTAGAGAGTTAATTTTTTTTCAACATTAAAAATCTCGGAGCAATCGAGTGTAGCAAGTAATGTTCCTTACTACACTCTCCGGCTAAAAATTCGTCATCCGGAAAATTGCGGACCCAACGGATTCGCCAAGTGCAAGAACTAACGACGTGCGCAGCTCGTACTCCTGCTCCTCCTGGGGGTTGCCCGCTTTCCGGGGCCATTTTTTGGGGGCGGGGGTGTCATTGAAGAGAGAGAGAGAGAGAGAGAGAGAGACAAAGAGATAAATTGACAGAAAGACAAACTAACCGACTGACAGACAGAGACAGCCAAACACAATCGAGACAAAATGAGAGATCGAGCCGGGGGGTAGGGGTTGTGGCCTCCAAAAAATAAGAAAGCAATCCTCGCCCTCCACCCCGGCGGCTTCACGGAAATCAAACCGTCGCGAGATCATTGACGAATCTTGCGCCTCGCGCGCGCCTTATTGGTGGAAATTCCGCGCCGCCGGAAATTCCGGAAACATGGAGAAAGTTTAACGCGTCCACACATCAAAAGGCTAATTCGCAATCAAGGTCGTCTAATTTTGGAAAAGGTGAAAAATGACGGCATAGAGTAATTGTTCTAGCTCTCTAGTTATAGCTAGCTCTATCTCTCACTATTTCGCCCTTTCTCCTGCTCTCTTTCTCTCTCTCTCTCACTGAATCTCTGACTCTCTCTCTCGCACTGTTGCTCTCGCGCTCTCTCAACCCCCTCTCTCTCTCTCTCTCTCTCTCTGAATCTCTGACTCTCTCACTCGGACTTTTTCTCACGCACCCTCTCACTCTCTCTATCTCTCTTCCTCTCTTACTCTCTCTCGCTCTCTCTCTCTCTGCCTGTTTCGCTCTCTCTCAAAAGCTTACAGGTATTTAAAGGCCCCAGCAAGGCTCCTCTATAGATCTATCCGCACGCGACACGCAACGCACCTGGCCCTGACAGCCTATCAACGGATTACGCAATGTAAAAGCAGACGCGCAGGTTGCGCATTATAGCTGTAAATACACAGTCCTTAAAAACACTGAAATGGATTGTAAAAATCGAAAATTTGTAAATGATGGCAGGCTAGCAGAGAAGCTTAGAGAAATCGGCACAAAATGCGCAGTCTAAATGTTGTCTATCCCAAAGCAAGTTTCAAATATGTTTAAATGCGCGGTGGCCGTTGAGTGATCGCTGATGTAGCGCGCCAACCGGCGCCTCCTCATCGAAATAATTTGCATAATCCAGAAGCGCCTGTCGCGGCAAACAGGCCACGCCCCCGGTTGCTCCCGGGCCACAACATCAAACGCCAAAAACTATTGGGGTAGCCGGTGATTTTTGAAGGGCAGATTATAGTGGGGGAAGAGCAAGAGATGGATATGCAAATTGGGTTCAAAGGATGTACCCGGAAAATCGAGGGGTAGCAGGCTAGCAGGGATTTTTGGGAATTTTGAGCTTGCGAAAAACTAGTAAAATTCGTAAAGTGAGCTGAAAGGGAGTAGAATAAGCTGAAAAAGACAAGAATTTACTTCAGAACACAAACTCCAAACTAGGCCATCCCGCGAAAATCACGGCAAATGAAATCACTGGCTGGCGGCTAGGTGGGAAAAATTCAGCTCCCCCCTCCCGCGACTCCTACTATAAAAGGATGGAACAACCGCAGATAAGCTGTCGTGTAGAGAGCAGCATCGCGGAATTCGAATACAAAAAAATAGTTGAGCTTATAAAAATTATTTTTGGAGGCCTGTAAATAGGAAAGCTCGTACAGCGGCGGGTTATTTTTCTTTTGCCGTAAATTAGAATGTGAACATCTTAATTTATCGAAAATCAGTTTGTCGAAAATTAGAAAACTGTCGAAAACTAGCTTGTCGGCATTATCGCTTTGTCGGCATTTGCCAGGCGTGGAAATTTGAATTTGCTAATAATAATTTCGACAAACCGATTTTCGACACAGTGGTTCTCGAAATTCTTTCAGGATCTTTGCTAGGCGGCAGACAAGAAAAATTTCTCAAAGGTTCTCTGCTCGCCTGCCAGCCGTGAAAATTACTCAAGGGATCGGTGCTCCCCTGCCAATTGCCAAAATTTTCCAAAGGATCTCTGCTAGCTTCCCAAGCAAAAAATCCTTAAAACGATCTCTGCTAGCCCACCAGTGTAGAAGAATTCCTCAAAGAATCCCTGCTAGCCAGCCCTCTCCCGATTCCTAAAAGAGTCTATTCTAGCTTCTCAGCCAGTAAAAATTCCTCAAAGATCTATGCTAACTTGCCAGTCTCAAAACAACTTCCTCAAATGATCTCTGCTTGCCTACCAGTCAGCAAAAATCAGCCAAGAAAAAAAATGATCGCCTGAACATGAAAACACGGGGGTAATTTGAGGGGGTGGCTGACCAAAAGCCGGGCAATAAATAGAAAAAAGGTGATTGTTTGCAGGGAGGGGAAAATTACCCGAGATGGGTCCCGTGGCCCACCCACTGTCTACCCCCAAAAGATGCCATCAGCCACTGTACCCACGGCAAACAGTACACCGATACAACCCAGGATTAATTGGGTACGGTAAATATGCGCGCGATGGGGCACGATTTAGGGTTCAATGAGAGCTCAAAATGGGAGCAATTTGGCCGTGTCGGCGGGAGTAGCCCGGAAATGGGAAAGGGAGAAGCGGATGGAAATAGATTGCGGATGGAGAAGGATAGTCTTATGCCATTTTTGGATTTTACAGATGTTTGGAAGGCAAAACGTATCCTTTTTCGAGCATTTTCGACATTTTTGACCAACATTTCGAAAGAGAAAACTTCAGAATCTCGGCTGTCAGAATACCGACAGCCAAAATCCCGATGTATTCCTGTTGCTAGCTTGAATACCACTTCCTTCAGAACGGCTATTTCGCGTTTCGGGATTTTGGCATGTCGGGATTACGGCTGTCGGT